TCTAAGTGATATTTGCTGATATGTGTAAAAAGTTGCCTAATTCAAGCCTTCTGTTCCTGTAGTCATTCATCATCATGATGGTCTCACAGAAATGGAGAAGGTTGCTCAGCCTACAAGGTTTTTACAAGAAAGTAATGATGATGAGATACATGAGCAAATTATATTTTCTGAAATAGAGGATGAAGGATTAGACGAGAGGATCAGTGAAGTTGATAGCACAACTCCTTATCAAAAAGCCCAGAGAAAACAAAAAGGCTTAGGATGATATCAGAACAGAAATGTTCACTATAGAACTGATCATGGAAGTAGAGATACTTGTAGCATACTTCGTCATGCAAGAACCATGCATATGCAAAATAAAAGCTATGGTACTTGCATGTATATATATGTTATTGACATATATGTGTCAATAAATGTTGAGAAGTATTTTAATGATTTTATTTTTATCCACAGGCATTCTTAGTAATTGTAGTGTGGACTGTGCAATCTTCCTCAGATTGTTCACCTATTGCAGTTTGAAGATACAAGCAAAGAGAAATTTTAAATTAATGTCATATTTCTTTAATCCTATCCTTTCTGTTATGCAAAATATATGTAATAAATAAACCATTGGGTGTGTAGTGGTGGTATATTGTTGTCGATATTGTTCTTGAAAAAGCCTTTAATGCAACCATAACAAAACTCTATAGCTCTATAACATATACCTATGCTGTATGGTACATGGTGTATAAATGCTGATATTACATAGTTTGCAGCATGAAATCATATTCACGGCTGGAAGCCGTATAACGTACGTCTGCTGTATGGTATATGGTGGTTGAATGGTGATATCAGAGAGTTTGCAGCATGAAATCATATTCACGGCTGGCAGCCGTATAACGTACGTCCGCTGTATGGTATATGGTGGTTGAATGGTGATATTAGAGAGTTTGCACCATGAAATCATATTCACGGCTGGCAGCCGTATAACGTACGTCTGCTGTATGGTATATGGTGGTTGAATGGTGATATCAGAGAGTTTGCAGCATGAAATCATATTCACGGCTGGCAGCCGTATACGTACGTCCGCTGTATGGTATATGGTGGTTGAATGGTGATATTAGAGAGTTTGCACCATGAAATCATATTCACGGCTGGCAGCCGTATAACGTACGTCTGCTGTATGGTATATGGTAGTTGAATGGTGATATTAGAGAGTTTAAACCATGAAATCATATTCACGGCTGGCAGCCGTATAACGTACGTCTGCTGTATGGTATATGGTGTATGAATGCTGATATTAGAAAGTTTGCAGCATGAAATCATATTCACGGCTGGCAGCCGTATAACGTACGTCTGCTGTATGGTATATGGTGTATGAATGCTGATATTAGAAAGTTTGCAGCATGAAATCATATTCACGGCTGGCAGCCGTATAACGTACGTCTGCTGTATGGTATATGGTGGTTGAATGGTGATATTAGAGAGTTTGCAGCATGAAATCATATTCACGGCTGGCAGCCGTATAACGTACGTCTGCTGTATGGTATATGGTGGTTGAATGGTGATATTAGAGAGTTTAAACCATGAAATCATATTCACATCTGGCAGCCGTATAACGTACCTCTGCTGTATGGTATATGGTGGTTGTATGGTGATATTAGAGAGTTTGCAGCATGAAATCATATTCACGGCTGGCAGCCGTATAACGTACGTCTGCTGTATGGTATATGGTGGTTGAATGGTGATATTAGAGAGTTTGCAGTATGAAATCATATTCACGGCTGGCAGCCGTATAACGTACGTCTGCTGTATGGTATATGGTGGTTGAATGGTGATATTAGAGAGTTTGCAGAATGAAATCATATTCACGGCTGGCAGCCGTATAACGTACGTCTGCTGTATGGTATATGGTGGTTGAATGGTGATATTAGAGAGTTTGCAGAATGAAATCATATTCACGGCTGGCAGCCGTATAACGTACGTCTGCTGTATGGTATTGGTGGTTGAATGGTGATATTAGAGAGTTTAAACCATGAAATCATATTCACATCTGGCAGCCGTATAACGTACCTCTGCTGTATGGTATATGGTGGTTGTATGGTGATATTAGAGAGTTTGCAGCATGAAATCATATTCACGGCTGGCAGCCGTATAACGTACGTCTGCTGTATGGTATATGGTGGTTGAATGGTGATATTAGAGAGTTTGCAGCATGAAATCATATTCACGGCTGGCAGCCGTATAACGTACGTCTGCTGTATGGTATATGGTGGTTGAATGGTGATATTAGAGAGTTTGCAGTATGAAATCATATTCACGGCTGGCAGCCGTATAACGTACGTCTGCTGTATGGTATATGGTGGTTGAATGGTGATATTAGAGAGTTTGCAGCATGAAATCATATTCACAGCTGGCAGCCGTACAACGTACGTCTGCTGTATGGTATATGGTGGTTGAATGGTGATATTAGAGAGTTTGCAGCATGAAATCATATTCACGGCTGGCAGCCGTATAACGTACGTCTGCTGTATGGTATATGGTGGTTGAATAGTGATATTAGAGAGTTTGAAGCTATAAATCATACTCACGGCTGGCAGCCGTATAACGTACGTCTGCTGTATGGTATATGGTGGTTGAATGGTATATTAGAGAGTTTGCAGCATGAAATCATATTCACGGCTGGCAGCCGTATAACGTACGTCTGCTGTATGGTATATGGTGGTTGAATGGTGATATTAGAGAGTTTGCACCATGAAATCATATTCACGGCTGGCAGCCGTATAACGTACGTCTGCTGTATGGTATATGGCGGTTGAATGGTGATATTAGAGAGTTTGCAGAATGAAATCATATTCACGGCTGGCAGCCGTAAAACGTACGTCCGCTGTATGGTAATATATGGTGTCTCATTTTATTTAAACCAAAGGTGATGGTGGTAAACACTCATGGTGTGGATGTAGAAAATTTCGCCATTCATACACCATATGCCATACAGCGGACGTACGTTATACGGCTACCAGCCGTGAATATGATTTCATGTTGCAAACTCTCTGATATCACCATTCATACTCCATATACCATACAGCGGATTTACGTTATACGGCTGCCAGCCGTGAATATGATTTCATGGTGCAAACTCTCTAATATCACCATTCAACCACCAAATATCATACAGCGGACGTACGTTATACGGCTGCCAGCTGTGAATATGATTTCATGCTGCAAACTCTCTGATATCACCATTCAACCACCATATACCATACAGCAGACGTACGTTATACGGCTGCCAGCTGTGAATATGATTTCATGCTGCAAACTCTCTAATATCACCATTCAACCACCATATATCATACAGCAGACGTACGTTATACGGCTGCCAGCCGTGAATATGATTTCATGCTGCAAACTCTCTAATATCACCATTCAACCACCATATATCATACAGCAGACGTACGTTATACGGCTGCCAGCCGTGAATATGATTTCATGCTGCAAACTCTCTAATATCACCATTCATGCACCATATACTATACAGCGGACGTACGTTATACGGCTGCCAGCTGTGAATATGATTTCATTCTGCAAACTCTCTAATATCACCATTCAACCACCATATACTATACAGCGGACGTACGTTATACGGCTACCAGCCGTGAATATGATTTCATGGTGCAAACTCTCTAATATCACCATTCAACCACCATATACCATACAGCGGACGTACGTTATACGGCTGCCAGCCGTGGATATGGTTTCATGCTTCAAACTCTCTAATATCACCATTCAACCACCATATACCATACAGCCGACGTACGTTATACGGCTGCCAGCCGTGAATATGATTTCATGCTGCAAACTCTCTAATATCACCATTCAACCACCATATACCATACAGCCGACGTACGTTATACGGCTGCCAGCCGTGAATATGATTTATAGCTTCAAACTCTCTAATATCACCATTCAACCACCATATACCATACAGCAGACGTACAGTATAGGGCTGCCAGCCGTGAATATGATTTCATGGTGCAAACTCTCTAATATCACCATTCAACCACCATACATCATACAGCAGACGTACGTTATACGGCTGCCAGCCGTGAATATGGTTTCATGCTGCAAACTCTCTAATATCACCATTCAACCACCATATACCATACAGCGGACGTACGTTATACGGCTGCCAGCCGTGAATATGATTTTATGCTGCAAACTTTCTATCTTTCCGAAATAAATGCGATATCTGAGTTTTTCACCGGACGATTGTGCCATGTTGAGTAAAGCTCGTTGATAATTTGTCCCTTTGCCCCTGGTGATAAAAGGCTGCACGCAAAACTGGGTCTATTCTATACATGGGCGTAGGAGGCATCCAGAGATTTGGGGGGCTTCCAGGGGTCTTTTTTGTTAATAAAAGGGCCTTTAGGGATGGATTGATTGCCAAAACTTTAAGGACACTACTAGCTAGTGTGGTATATATTTATTCTCTATTTTCTTATATTTTCGGTGGGGGGAGGAGGGGTGTTTCCACCCGGTTCCTAGGTACATCTTTATAGCACGCGTATGATGTGAACAGTCTCAGTATCTCGGGGAAAAGCCCGCATATTTTCGTGTGTTGTGGCGCAATACTATTTGAATTATTTATCGATTATTAGATGCAAATATTTCGGAAATGAGCACTTTTTCTGTAACAAAATTCCCTCCAGATATTTCACCTGGATATCAGTGAAAAATTCCTTACAGCAAGCCAGACAACAGAGGCCAGACAAGGGAGAAATGCCGGACACAACAGCGCACAATTACAGATCAATTTAATATTGATAGCTAGTTCACTGTAGCTAGGGAAAGTGCCCCAGATTTTGCAGCCTAGTCCCAGGCCTTGTAAATGCGCGCTGCAGAATTTGAGCGCATCATGAAGTCTGGGGCGACCGGACAAACGGACGTACGTTACACGGCTGCCAGCCCGTCCGTTTTAGCCTTTAAACACGGCTATCAGCCGTATGACTTAGATGAACCGGGTGGACTCGAATCATCCAAATCAACATGAAATGAAAAGTATCGTTTGATCTGCACGTTTTTCCTTCTTCTTGGTTTAAAAATGCTTTCTCAAGCGCAATTACTGGACGAATTGATGGGCAGAGACCGAAATCTGGCCCCTCAAGAAAAGAAGTGCAGTCTTCATTGGTCCGATCCAAGTGTAAGTAAGAATTTCGTTAAGATTTACCCCGGTTATTGTGGTATATATTTAATAGCTTGGTTAATATATGGGCTAGTTTTGTATATACTGTTTTCGACAATTTTTGTAGGTTTGTAAAATGTACCTGGCTGGTTTTTGTCCACATGATTTGTTTACTAATACGAGATCTGATTTGGGTAAGTTTTTATCTTCTATTTATAAATAACGAGTTATATGCTTTCTAGCAGAGTCAAAGACTGATTGGACGTCAATCTAAGCTATGGTCTAAGGGATAGGGATTTGGGATGAAGATGAATCATGAATGTAGATTTTCTTGTCTATCAACAAGTGAAAAATTGTAGTCTAGTGGTTCTGGAGAACAAAATGCTGCCAAAAGTTTAGAAACAACATCACATTTTTTCAGTTTCTAAAAGAATTAGGTATCTATTTTACGAAAAAAGACAAGTTGTCATTGAAATATTTAGACAGGTTCCATAACTGGTGAAATTTAATATTGAATGAAAATTTCTTTGAATTTGTTACTGTGGAATTACCATGTGAAAATAACAGAACACTTAATGATTCACACTCATAAAATAGTGAGTTTTGTTTTTCCTTAAGTCCCATTCTTTCTTTTGATGCCAACCTTACAATAACTAGTTTATACATTTAACAAACACAATCACCTCGCAGTGATAGACAAATAGGATTTCATGAAATAATATATCTCATAATTTCTTGAACTACAAAGGTATACAACTTCAGAATGACTTTTGTTAGCTATTGTATAGCTAAAAAAGGACACAAATTTTGTGGTCTTCTATCAATATGGCCTGAAATAAAGTGTGTGTGGGTATCTGAAGGCTTTACCAGATAAAAAACTATGTTTTAAGGAGGAATTCTTTTGAAACTGTTGAAGCATTTTACTTTCAGGGAAGATGACACATTTTTCTAAGCTATTAAAAAAAAATGTTAAAGTTATATGAGTTTTATCAGTTCCAATTCATCCAATCAAATTTGTCATTATGACTTTTTAAGGTTTGACATTATCACCGTAAGGTGATAGGTTTATCACTGTAAGGTGAATGTTTATCACTGTAAGGTCAGTGGCGTAGCCAGAACAATAATTGGGGGGCCAATATTCATATATTCGTGATATGCAGGTTTAATTTCTTTTCAAATCAATTGTCTTTACAGTCTGTTAACATGAATATATGAATATGGGCCCCCCCAATTATCGATGCTGGCTACGCCACTGTGTAAGGTGAATGTTAACCGAATCCTTGTTTGGGTTAGCAAGATTTATTTTCAGTTTGCAGCCTGTCACTAAATATGTAACTAATTTAGGTACAAACATGTCATACAAATGTATACAAATTTTGCATGGATATTTTTTTCTGTACTTTGAAAACAACATTTTGTTCATTTGACTAAATTTAGCATGCTCTCTCTAGAAAATTTTTTTTATCACCAAAATAAAAAATATTTTCGTGCAAAGAAACAATAGTCACGTTGCAATTAAAGTGATTCAATAGTATACTCTTTACAGTATCCCTTCAATGTACCAATGAAGAAAAACTGTATCCTTGTTATTTATTGTTTTATATTTTTAGGTTTTTGTGAAAAACTGCATGATGACAAATTACGTGAAGAGTAAGTAATCTTACAAAATATTAATTGTGTATCAAAGTAATTCAGATCCAAATTTGGCTTCTAATAGTTATAACACAGAACTTTTTAAACAAATTCAGTTAGGTTTTACACCATTGTTATTGTCAAATATCTTGTTTTATTTGTCTTTAGTTGGTAAATGAGGAAGTATTGGTTTGCAAAATAGTTAATAAAAATAATTTCTGCCAATGGAGCCTTTTCTTTAACTGTTGCTTTGGAATGTTAATCATCACTGAAAATGAAAGCTAAAATTTAACGAATCTGTACTACTTTTATCCAAAACTATATTGTCAGTAAGAGGTTTGCTTCGTTTTTGGGGTGATACTAAAAAAGATCTGCTGCATTACCTGACCTACTAAAAAATCAGAACTTACTATTTTTACATCTTTTGGAAAGAAAATTATTTACTTCCAACAATGGTCTCATTCCTGTGTTATTCTGTGGTCCTCTGAGAAAAACGTAATCAGCTCAGAAAGAGATTTCTGGAGGCACTTAAGGTGGCTCCCTACAATTTTTTGAAATATTGAAAACTTGTGGTTTTGATTTAAAATTTTAGCACGAGATTTCTTGGTAAGGAAAAGAAATTTCCCAGATATATTAACCAACACTCTAACAGTCAGAAATTGCCCATAAGCATAACGTCATTACCGTTGTTATGGTAACAATGGCGATTCAATATGGCCGACATTTTACCTATTCATGCATTTTACTCGAAAACAAGTTCGGTTACCCCAATTTTTTATTTTATAAAAATTTTTCTTACAAAAAAATGGAAAATATGAACCAGTTAAAAAAAATTCTATAGAGCCAAAATTATTAAAAATGAAAAAACGTGATTTTTCATTATAGAAATTTTTTGGCTCCATAGAATTTTTTTAAACTTGCTCGAATTTCCCATTTTTTTGTAAGAAAACTTTTTATAAAATAAAAAATTGGGGTAACCGAACTTGTTTTCGAGTAAAATGCGTGAATAGGTTAAATGTCGGCCATATTGAATCGCCATTTTTACCATAACAACGGTGATGACGTCATGCTTATGGGCAATTTCTGACTGTTACAATGTTGGTTAATATATATGGGAAATTTCTTATACTTACCAAGAAATCTCGTGCTAAAATTTTAAATCAAAACAACAAGATTTCAATATTCTTAAAACTGTAGGGAGCCACCTTAATGTATTATCTTGTACTGTACGACCTGAAAACGTTTAAACAGAATGCTAGAATCCTAAATCGTAACAAGTGGGACTTGGTAGATTTGTTGCGGAAACTGCGGTTTTTGCATTTATTGCTACCACGCGATTCTTAAAAATATTAACAATGATGGATGTCTTTTATTACCTGTAGTACAAATTGTATTGTTTACGTTTTTGGTAGTGTATATTTTCAAACTTTCGTTCGAATTATTTTATTATACTCATTGTCTTTACGATCTGAAATAGAATTAAAGTATTTGTATTTACTATTCATTTCATTCATTTTAGATACAAAACTTCCAAAAGATTTGGTACCATGGGATATGAGGATGATTTCTTGCGTTATTTACAATCGCTTTTATCCGATGTTGATCGTAGAATAAGACGAGGTCATTCCAGACTTACAACCACGCAGGAACTTATGAAAGTATGCTTTACAAATATCAGAGACTTTTAATAAAATGTACAGCATTAACTTGTACAATGAAAAAACATTAGAGCTGCTCCCGATAAATCATTCATTTTTTTTACAAATGATTTTACCTCAGAGTTATCGGATAATATACAACACCATGCACAGTGCAGTATTGTTGCGGGAATGCAATTTCAGTCCGGATTTGAAATATTCTAAAAGATGTTTCGTCTAAGCTTGTAAGCTCTTTCTAAAAATACATTGGTAAAAAGACTTAATGATTTTTAAAAATCTTTGTAAAATGTAAACACCAAAATATAAAAGTAGGACCATTATGTTGAACTATATTTTTTCTGCCGTTTCATACATTTCTACAGTTTTGTTTAAGCGCAGGAGAGTGCGCGTAGAATCTACAGATGTGACAACGTTCATTTTCCACTCAGATTCAAAATGTTTGCACTGACTGGTATAACCCGCAAATATTTAGTAAAAACGTTAATTACAAACCACTATTGTGACATATAGGTCAGTGACGTCCTATTTCGTTGAATTATATAATAACACAATTAGATCGATTAGATCGATTTATGCCACGATTTGTTTTACACAACGATTAATCGATTTCGCTTTTAAATTGAATGGGGCAGCCCTAAAAAGACTTGTATATGGAGGTGGGCAAAAATTGGAAATCTCTTTTGTTGAAACTCACATTGCATCCATCAAAACGTTCAGGAAAAGCAATTAGGAAAGTTGAACACAGACACCGAAAGAGAAAAGGAGGCCCAACTTACAGAAAAAGTTAATTCTCTCGTGGAACAGGTAACGTATGCATGCGATTACTTTTAAATAGACTTTATTTAATTTTTGGAAGCCAAAATCAGCGTTAGTCAGTTATCAAGCTCTTTTTGAAACATCTTCATTTTATCATTCAGGCGGAAAAACTTGGTTGTGAGGGAAAAGTTGAAGAAGCACAGGGGGTGATGAAATTAGTGGATCAGTTGAAAGAAGAACGTGATCAGCTTACATCTAAGGTAAAGGTTTTGGGAATGTATTTTAGGAACTAAGTGTATTTTTTAGTATTATTTGAAATCAGTAATAACAGATTTTGATTGTTTGATATGCAATGCCACACCCGTGCACACAGCTAAAATGAAGCAGAACTGCACAATGTTGTATACTGCACCCTGGAGCATATAACAACGAAATAATTTATGTGTTTATGCGCTTAGCTGAGCCTGCACGTGGGTTCTTTTTTGCTGTACCAAGTGAACTGTATTAAATAACTGGAACGATACCTCCTCATTGATTTTGTGAAGCCAAAATTCGCGGGACTTTACTTCCAGACACTAGCAAAGACGACCGTCTTTCTCCGCATTTCCAAAAATAGGTCCATTGAATGCATTCTACTGACATCACGAATGTCTCAGCCGGCTGCGAGTACCAATAAAATAAGATCTTTATCTCCCTAAACATTTTTTTGTGAGTTTTTATCAGATTTTACGAAATAACAACAAAATCGTTTTGTTTTTGCCTTGTTTGTTTTTGCGTGTAAAGACTGGGGGTGACTTAGTTTCAACTTCCCGTCAGAAGGTAGTGTTCCAGTTAATTATTACAGTTCACTGGTTGTGCCAGAGTTCTCCTAATTGGTATTGGTGTACATGCATGGTGCATGTAAATATTAGTCACCTTCATGTCAGACCTTATTTGACCTCCGGAAGGAGTGAACCTACTTTCTGTACGATGCCGGTAAACTGCTCTGGCTACATTCAGTATTCACCCTCCGCGAGCAAGATTCATTTGTGACGCGCACCATCACAAAGATTTCCCATCAGTTTAACGTTGTAGTCTCGAATGATAACAAGTTTTAATGAATGTATCGGTGCATTTGTAAATATTACTGTTACCATTGCTTTTCGAAGTCTTTATATATACTTTGGGGCTAATACTGTTATCGGCGCAAATATCGCTAGTATCAACATTTTAACAATGTACATTTTAAATTACAGGTGAAAGATCCAAGCTTCAATGGTCAAGAAAAATTGATGGAAGTGTGTGAAGTTTGTGGTGCATTTCTTATCATCGGCGATGCTCAGATCCGTGTTGACGATCATCTGCAAGGAAAGCAACATAAGGGCTATGCACAGATAAAAGCCGCTGTTGAAGAACTTAAGGTAACTTGTGTTTCTAATAGCGATTGTGTAAAGTGCTATTGTAGGATTGACTTTATACTGTTTCTTTATCAGTGAAATGTCTGTTTAGAACCGTCCGTGGCTAAACAGAGCTAAATCTAAAGATTCAGCTGAGGGGGACAGGGAAAAGAATTCTGATCGTAAAGATGCGCGCTCCGACGATAAACGTTCAGATAGGGACCGCGAACGACGCCGGGAGCGTGACGGCGATCGCCGAGATCGCGATGGAAAGGATCGTGACGGTGATCGCCGGGTGACGGGTGACCGTGAACGAAGAGATCGTGACCGTGATAATGATCGTGATCGGAGAGATCGTGACCGCGATAGACGGGACAGGGATCGTGACCGACATCGAGACAGGGACCGCGATAGAGATCGCCGTCGTGATCGGAGCCGAAGTCGGGACCGTGACCGTGACCGGAAGCGAAGTAGTCGTGATGATGCCCGAAGTCGTAGCCGGGAGAAAGACGACAGTCGCCGACGAGGTGACGATAGTCGCCGAGACAGTGGGGAAAGTCGCCGGCGTGATGACGACAGCCGCCGAGAGTGTGACGAAAGTCGCCGAAGAGATGATTTTAAGGAAGAGAAGACTGAAGGTAATGAAATACAGGGTCAAGAAATAAGTTCTTCGAAAGATGAAAAAGTGGATAAAGGTGCATTAAAGATGGTGGAGGATAAGATCCCGCAAGGTAGTCAAGATGACACCGGGTAAGTTGGTTGTTGTGTTTAAACTTGTAGCCAACAGAGAGTTGAACAAGTCTGCTGGGGTCCGGTCTGCTCTTGGCAAATAAATCACTCATTAAAAAGAAGGTGCTGCAGGTATTACTTTTTCCATTTCTTTACTCATTGGATCATGCTCTCGAGGCCTTGGTCAGGAAAAATTGTAGAAAAATAAATTCCTCTTTTATTACTGGGGTTGACTAGTGATAACTCTATAGATACTATACGTATATGTATTATGTAAGCCAAGACGGCATAACTTCCAGTCTTCGAAATTAATTGCTGTATTCAAATTTGGAAGAGAAGGTGCTGAGTTTCACATGGAGAAACATCGAGTTGTTCAGCCGTTTGTTCTCCGAGAGGTACAAAATTTCCAAAACTTTTTTTTGGGTTTAATGTTTTAGGCTATATTTAGATGTTTACATGTAGTGCTATTTTTTCGACCTACGACATTAAATGTTCTTTTAATTCATGACAAGGTTGCGGAAAACACTTAGAACAGAACACCTTCTGATTCCGTGTCAAAAATTGGTTACAAGTATAAATGCAATCGGGATTACAAAATGTCCTGAATTTTTCTGCTATAATTTAGTTATACCATGATTTTTGAAATATTGATTGTGATAACATACTTAATGGTTATGACTAGCTTTATAATGGTAATCATGCAATGTTTAATTTCATACCAAACAGCATAATAAACCAGCAGTATTTTTCAAGTCAATGGAATACTCAGGTATCATAATTTTATAATATCACCTGATTGTTTACTACAGGAAACGGGAGGTTTTTTCTGTAGCGTATGAAACATTATATGTAGTTAAGCTGATGCTAGTAAAACTCCGGGGAATTATTTTACTCTGCTTATAGCTTTTCATCCCTTCCTTCAAGAGGAAGCATGCAGTTTCTCGTAGCTTCGTCTCTCTTCACTTGCAGTATTTTGTCCAACCACAATCTCCGTCAGGTTTGGTTGTTCAAAGTTGATAAGCAAACGGATAAGCAAAGTTCTAAGCAAACGGAAAATTTATCATAATTGAATTGACCCAAATTTCCTATATAGAGCCTTCATTTTTTTCGCATCTCTTTGTGATCTAACTGTTCTAACCTGTTGATTTATTTAAATCGCCATTTTAGTTTTCTTTAGTAATCAAATTGAAAAGAATGTCGGATATGAAAATATTCCTTAGCAAATGCTTGTAAACATTTGGAACAACCCAACTGAACTTGCATAGAAACTAGGAACACTTGAACAAAGAAATGAATAAAATCTGCTTCTAGGATTTACATGTAAAAACTAACTTAACCTCAGATATTTGTGTTTCATTTAGTGTACCAGAAGGGCCCAGCGACGACATGTAGAGATGACGCTTTGTGGTTCGATGATGTCTTTTTCTTGAAAACGTCGTTATATAATCCTCACAAAGTTTAAAGAACCTTAGAATGTTCGTGATTACTCTGTAGTCCCTAGGTTACCTTGATTTGCTGTAATCTGTCATTTAGATTTGGGAACCGGTTCGTTAAGTGATTTTAGAAAGGGACAAGCTTACCGCTCATTCAAACACCAAATGCATTTTAGTGTTTACATATTAATCATGTTTGCGAAAGTAATATCACGTTTATGGGTTTATTTTTTATTGTTTTCATATCTTCCACATCCGCGTAAAACAGCAATACAATCTTATTTGATTTTGACGTCACCGGATGTGAATTTGGAAAGAAACTCACAAAACGTGATATTACAAAGTATAATAACCGCCTATTTGATCCACGAGAGGCAGTATTATTAATAGTATAGACTGTTAGCATATGTACCTTGTTCGATGGTCTTGTGATTTCTATTAAATAAGAATTGTTCCTTAGTGGTGTTTACTAAATATCATATGCTTGGCGACCATTTTATAATGATGTATCTTCAAACACGCTTGAAATATTCTAGAACTTTCACCTTTAACTTGCGCGATGCGTAACATGTAATGATGGTAAACTCGAAGTGACTTTGATTATTTTCACAGTTGATGCAGTTGGTCTTTTAGAAGATTGAGCTGAACATAAGTTTTATAATTCGTACAGGTAATCATTCGATGGCGAGTACATGTCGGGATTCATAGTACGATCACGATTAAAATTTGTTTGTATCCACAAATGATTTTAATTACCAGTATTTACACTTTATAAATATGGATAGCAATATTTGAATTTGCAACTTATATAAGCACCTTCGACTGAAGTCCCTCTTCTATAGCAAATTTAAATTTTTTGTATTTAGCATTTTAATGGTTGTTGCGTTAAGTCCACTGAGCTATATAATCAGTGGTTAAGTCCGATTTCCACCAGGCGAATCTTTCGCCGCGAAGAAGTAGAATCGCTTCCTATACTTTTTATCTGTTCGTGCGAATATTAAAATTCGCCCAGTGGAAAACAGGCTTTAATCGTTTCTGAAAAGAACATTCTGAATTCTGAACACTCGACAGTCAACACTATTTATAAATGATCATTTGGTTATCGACTTATCGATACTATATATCTTTTCGATGGAATTGGGGCCGTGCAGGCAATCTCGTTTCCTGAGCCCGCGATTCCTCTGACGAGAAAACAAAGGCTCTGAGATAATCCAAATCGGAAGTTCCGGTTTGTAACGGTATTTTGTATTTCAAAACTGAAACGGCGTGAACGACCAATCAGATTTCGATCATCCCAGAGCCTTGGTTTCCACGGCAGAGGAATCGCGGGTTCGGGCAACGAGATTGCTTACTAGGTAGTTTTTGTCCCTGGGTACAAGCTTCGCTAACATTGGTTAGCATATAAATTTCTATAAAGACAGCGGTTTATGCTATAAAAAAAGGGTTTTTCTTGAAAAAAGACCCTATACTTCTGTGTTGAGGAAAATAAAGCAAAGTAATGAAATTTGGAGGATGCGGGCATCGATCCCGCTACCTCGCGCATGCAAAGCGCGCGCTCTACCATTTGAGCTAATCCCACTGAGCTATATAATAATTCCTGGAGGACCGGCTCGCCACCAAAAAGCGTACCAGAAAAGATGGCGGATTTTGAGCTTTGCTGACGCCACATGGTCCCCTTTGCCCATGGTAATTACCACTGACATACCGCGATACAAAGTCAAAAACGTGTCCATCACCCTCCCGATTTTTATGAAAATATTTTCGGTTTTCGGTATTGTTTTCGGCATATATTTTCTCCGCATTTCATCTAAAAAGACTCTTTTTCCCTGTTCAACAAGTTAAATGGAGAAGTGATTTCTTGTGGAGTTCAACAACTTAAATGGAGAAGTGAATGGCCTAATTCACCTATCGGGAGATTAATTTTTACCTCAGGTAAGCTAGTTTTCATAATATTTTTGTTTTTCGCCTTTGGTATAGACAACTACCAAAGCGTCTGTTGCAGTTATTTATTTTGAAATTAATGTTAAAAACGGCAAATATGCTGCAGAGTGCAGCCTTTTTGATCAATGGTACATGACTTAGTTACGCTATTAAAAACTATATTTTATGAAAAAGGATCAATAACTGATCTTTTGAGTTTTGGCTATGTTTTGGCTTTTGAATAGAACTCTTATGGGATTTGCACTGGAGCTTTCACTCATATTTAATGCCAATTCATGAGTATTTTCAGTCAAACAATTAAGATGAATCAATATTCAATCCTCCCAGTGAATCTACTAGTCTCTCTATTGATCCTTTTTACTCTATTGTAGATGAATTTAAAACATTAAACATGATGACTGTGTGAGTGCTGATACAAAATATTTTTCTGTCAGATTTCAACAGTGGTTGTTAAAAGTCTAGTATGTTATCTTGTTTGCCTTGTCAAATGCAAAGTCAATAATCATGGCTAATAGACTTCTTGGCATCTTGCACCTTGTTGATCAAGCTACAAGCTTGATTCAAGCTACAAGCTAGATTGTTAATTTGCAATGGTTTTTACTCCCCTCTGGCTCTGTCCTCTGGGTGTACTTTATAGAGTACAGTTAAACTTGGTCTGATCTCTCTTTTTTAGGATAAAGATAATATAGAATTTGGGGATGGCTTTTTGCAAATTACTGGAACTTTAAACTGTTAATTTTACCATTTTGACTTTGTTAGTTATAGTTACAATAGTATTTAAATGGAAAATAAATTTATATAAACAATGCATTGACTGAGCAGTTTGTTTTCAATTTGCAGCAACTTTTATAATTTTCTGGAAAGTTTTACCCTCCCTACCATTACAAGGAATATTATCATGGGGCTAATCAGGAATTGAAGGTTAATAGATTATAGACTAATACAGGAATGAATAGGCTCAGTTGCATTATCATGAATTCATGAGACATTTGTTTAATAGCACGACTAGTACCATAATCTTCTTGGTACCATATATAATCAAATTTTTGTTATTTACCATAGCCTTTCTTTGCATTATCTGGAATATGATTCCACTCAAATTCTTGAGTCAAGCAGGGAACTATTTGAAAGTGGAATAGTTGGGATACAGTAAGATATGGATAACTTATAGCTATAATGACCTAAATGAAAATATCCTATGCAAATATATCTTGAAGTACTATTACTAATCAGCTGCCAAGCATCTTGCATGAGGTTTGGCCTTTGTTTCCTTGAGTTATGCATGGGCTGATATGCAAAAGCATGATATTCTTTAAGGAAAACATCACATAGCCACATATTTTCTGCCGGTAACCTTTAGTCGGCGATTGATATCCGAAAGATAATCCAAATTTCTGACCAGACTCGAAAAATATTTTCAAAAATTTTATACAGAAATGTATGAATAATGAAAATAAATAAATAAATAAAATAACCTGTCAGCTAATCGTACATAACAATTTTTCGTCCACATTTTTTTTTACGTTTTAATATTAATTTTCTTTGGCATTGGCAAAACAGCATCCACGATTGTATAGAACTGAAATGAACGCCTTATTGCAACGCTTTGTAACACAAAAATAAATCGAAAAATACAAAACAACAAGGTTTCCAACATGTTTCACGGCAAAAAAGATATTCATAAAAAAACCAGGGGGGAAATACTGTTGTTTAGATAAACCAGGGGGGAGCATCTCTTGTAGCGGGCTCAGATTTGAGCCTGGTCAGTGGTAATTACCCTGGGCAAAGGGGACCATATGGCGTCAGCAAAACTTCTGCGCAGTGCGCAGAAGGCAAAGTCCGCCATGTTTTTTTCGACAAAAAGATGGCGGCGAAGTTACCGAAAAATGACGAGCCGGTCCTCCAGGAATTATTATATAGCTCAGTGGCTAATCCCCCTGACGGCTGTAAAGATGTCATATTCAATCAAAATAATTCTGAAGATGAAGTTTTAAGCCCTAGTCAAACGAGAATGAGAGTTGATGAGAAGCGAGAGTTCGCACGAGAGTTTTCCACACATTTTGAACTATTGTTCTGTCACAAGTCAGAGTCTAGTCTGCTACCAAATGCAAACCGCTGGCGGTTTTGCAACTCTCATCAACTCTCATGACCGATCAAACGCGCCCAAACTCTCATCAACTCTCATCAAAATTTGAACCAGTTCAAAGTCGATGAGAGTTGATAAGAGTGCACGAGAGTGTATGAGAGTTCGCGGTCAAACGCAAGCGAGAGTTGCAACGCTCATCAACTCTCATCAACTATCATTCTCGTTTGACCAGGGCTTTACATTAAGAGTACTTTACTGCAAATTCTAAAAGTCTTCTAAAGTCACAAGGAAAAATGTGGCTGCGGTGCTACAATCTCAAGATAGATAGATAGATAGATAGATTTAATTACGATAACACATGGCAGCCTATAAGGCTGAATTGCGTGCTATAATTTACATGGATTAATAAAAATAGTTAATTAATTTTTACTCTATTTACACATTTTTTTAAAATACATAATTGTAGGATAAAATTACGCTAATATAATAGTTAAAAAGATCTAAAAGTTAGATTTTATCATTAAAATGTCTAACGCATGAGGGTATAAAAGTGTTTTTAAATCTATTTGTCTTGGTTTTTTGAAGGACAAAAGTTCTTGAATGTCTTAGATTGTAACTTGAAAGGCATCTAGATGGTATGATATCGTGCACGTTAGCCTCAGGTGTTGTGCTGATTTCAGTAAAAAGTTTCTCGCATGCATCGACACGCCTGTCACTCAGAGTTTTGATGCCACATTTAGATAAGCTATCCGTATAACTTATCTGTGGATAGATTATGAATAGAACACGCTTTTGAATCCGTTCCAGGGAGTTTGACAAATAAGAGGGTAGAGCAAAGTGGAATACTTGGCAGCTAAATTCCATAACTGGTCTGATGCAGGTGGTGTAGAAGTTTAAAACCATTAGTTTCAGGGACGTGGGCCCGTTTCAATTGAATGATAAAATAGATACGTTTGTTGGCTTTCTTAATAATGTTGTTAATATGTTGGTTCCACTTTAGATCACTGGTTATTGTCAGTCCTAAGATTCTGGCATGCTTGACTACTTCGATATGACCTGAGTTAATCTTTAGGCGAGGGAATTCTTTCTCAACTTTAGTGAAACTGATTACGATTTCCTTGCACTTCGAAGTATTTAGTTGCATCTTATTTTCTACCGACCAGTTTTGAACGCAATCGACTGCATCTTGAATATTACTGGATGAGTCTCTATGAATAATTTCTGATGCAGTAGTATCGTCAATGTATTTCCAACGCTCGAAATGAGGAGGGCGGAGGTCATTTATCATAAGAATAAACATCCAGGGTCCCAGTTTGGTTCCCTGAGGGACACCGCGGAAGGGATATCAATCCATTCGGACTTACAATCTCTTGCTAATTTCACTCGTTGTTGTCTGTACATGAGGAAGTCGACCACCCATCGCTTGATGAAAGTTGGCATAGGTAAATTGATGACTTTTTTTGCTAGAATTTTGTGGTCAATCAGGTCAAAAGCCTTTTTGTAATCAAATAATACCACTCTTACTGCATTACCTGTTAAACAGTGGCTTGAGACCAAGAATGAATCATAGAAATTAAAGCTTTGGTAGCAGAAGATCGAGGGATGCCACCAAATTGAAAGGGATCTATTACCGTAAGCACAGCTGGGGCGAAGTATTTTTCCACGACAAATTCCTCCGCAAGCTTAGATAGGACAGGGGTTAACGATATAGGTCTAAGGTGTTTGTTTATGTCCTTAACAGGTTTCTCCTTTGGAAAGGGTGTTATATTAGCCTGTTTCCACGACAAGGGAAGCTTCTTTTGTTTGTAAGAGGAATTCAATAGGTTTGATATAGGGGGGCAAGGATTTCGGCATAATCTCGAAGAATCCAGTTTGGAATGTCATCGGGACCTGGGGCTTTGGATGGATTGAGGCGTTTTAATTTTTTAAACACCATTTCAGTATCAGTCAGGTTCATAACTAAATCTGGTGGATCGTCAGGGATTCCTTCGAACAGGATTTTTACGTCTGAGGCATCTAATGGACTGTAAAAATTCATTGGTTCTAATAGGCTATTGTTGATTAAATCTGAGAAACCTTTATGTGTTAGATGTTCTGTATCCTCGATATGAAGTTGATTCAGCAGGCAGCTGGTTACTGGTTTCATACCTGAAATACGTTTAACTTCCGACCACCATGATTTCGGGTTGGACTTTTTTAGATTGGCAACTCTGGTAGCAATATTTTCCCCTACAGGATTTCCTCATTCTGTTCACTCTATTCCGATAGAATTTAAAAAGTGAAGTGTTTTTAGACGAAAAAGCACGTTGTCTCAGTTTTATCAGTTGTTTCAATTTTTCTGTGATCCAAGGAGTGCCGTTGTGATGGAATTTTACCTGCTTCTCTGGCATTAGAGTATCATAAACAGATTTAATGATGGAACATAAAAAATTACATTTATCATCGCAGGATATGGTTGAGTTTACAATATGCCAGTCGATGTTACACAGGAAACGACCAAGTTCATTCTTACGTGACTGACGAGTGTCTCTTTTGATGACAGTTCTTCTACTTGAGACACCAACAGGTCTTCTAGTTTTGGGCTCAACAATTATAACATTATGGTCTGATAAACCTAGAGGAGGCAATACAATAGCTGATTTTGTATCATAAAATTTGTACATGTTCGTAAGTATGAGGTCTAGGGTATTGGTGCCTCGCGTTGGTTTGTTTACCAATTGCCTTAACTGAAAGTCACGACAGAGGTCTCTGGTATCGAACTGGTTAAAGTCACCGGCAATGATGATGCCACACCCTGGGAAAAGACTATCAATTCGTGTCAAAGATTCAGATAGATATTCAAAGAGATCTGCATTATTAGAACTTGGTGTGTGGTAAACACATGCTGAAACGATACAGTTTATTCCTCTTGGTAATCTAGGTGGCCTAACATGTGTCCATAATACCTCAAAGTCTGGTTGTTCGATGTCGGGTAGTCGTTTAAACATAATAGAGTTCTTTATGTACACGCAAACGCCGCCATGGGTGCCGAAGACGCGATCTCGCCTTAAAGCCTGGTTCACACTTGTCGTAAGAATCTGGGATTCCCTTTGTCTGAGGTCACTGATGTGCAAGAACCTTTGTCTATCGGAAAATAATACAATGGATCCCCGATTCTTAGGAGCTAGTGTGAATCAGGCTTAAGAGGTGGTAATCAGTTAAGGTCACATGATTGTCACAAATGGATTCTCGTAGCCAGGTTTCAGTAACAAAAATTAAATCGAAACTGTTTTCAGACGTTAGAATACGTAACTCGTCAATCTTGGGGACTAAGGACATAACGTTAGTCAATAAGATTCTTGGGGAAAATTCTGACTTTTGAGCCGGTAATAGATTCCTATTGTCTACATGTGAAGTAATACTGGAGTTTGAACTGCTGCCGATGCCACTTTCCAGGATGGGAGTATCAGCGGGAATACTCTGCCTCAATGTAGTTCCCGTCGAGGGTCAAATTTGTTTTCCGTTCTGTGGGATTCTTAACATGCAATTTCTCTCGGTCGCCATGGTTTACACCTAACGAATTTGGGCCAAAAGTTATCTTCTAGCACTTGTGAACTGACCGCTGAGGGAACATGGATCTTAAATTTCGCTTTCTATTGACTGCAATAAAGCCCTCGG